TCGTCGAAGCGCTCCACGCTCACTATCGAATCACGAAAGCGTTCAGAGACAATCATCCCGACGCCATTGGTGGTTTTGGGACCGCCACAGAGAACGGCTTTGAAGCCGCGGCCAATGTCCCTCGACTTGCAGCAGGACCACCTCGTTTCCTGCACGGCACAGAAGTCAATTCGTCGGCGCTCTAGAGCTTCTGCTAACTCGTACGAGCGGCCCGTTAACGTGCCAACATTTAACGTCGCAACGCGAGTCTTCCATACGTTGCGGACTTTTGGACTAGCCTAGTTGCCCCCCGATGCCGTCCTTGCACGGAGACCCTCGCATACTTTTCACACTCGCCGGGCTTTGCGAGTGCGCGTCGGCTCCCGCGGACGCCGTAGCATTATCTCGAAATTCATATGGCGACATTAACATTTGTGATGTGACGTGGGTGTTCGTAGGCCGGCCTGTCACGAGGGCCTGTCGCCTGCATTCGAATGTCCGTGTGTCCCCCCCCGTGCCCCCCCCCCCCCCCCCCCCCCCCCCCCCCCCCCCCCCCCCTCCCCCCCCCACGCTCAGCCCACAAGTGGGCAGCTTCCAGTGGACACTTGGAGGAACGGACCCCCACCATACGTTGGAAATGTGTAGAGCCAGAAAATGTAGAAGATGCAACATTCGATAATCACATGACCCTTCAACGCTTAGAAAGCGAGAATGTTGCGCTTTCCGCTGGTTCAAGCCTACTACTTGAGGTTAAGAAAGAAAAAAAATAAAGAAGTAAGAGATAAAGTTATATATAATAAACTACGGGACATCGACGCGCTTATCACTCTAATATAATTAAATATAACTCAGTTAATCACTAACCTAAAACTGATTTGTGAAAACCGTTCCGCACTCTCGCTCGCCATATTTTGGGCACGATAATGTCACATCTGTGAAATACACGTGAGCTACTCTATAACACCCACTGGACAGGTCTCTTCGAAACTTCTGCTGGGAATGTTGCTTTTAGCCGTCTATAACAGATCAAAAGGCAGAACCAGGCGTCAAGGAACTCTGAGTAACGTTCTCACTTTTTCTTCCTTACTTAAACGCAGCGATTGCGATTAGTTCTAGAAGGGTTTACAGGAGATGTGGTAGTGCTCTTTGGTACGTCAGTGGCGAAAAAATGCCAAGAAGTAAATCGTCAAGAAACACCGCTGAATGAGGCAACGCCCTTTTTTGGCCAGGTGGTTTATTTTAATTCAGGTACAGTTATCTCGAATGGTGAGTTGATTAGGGAATGTCACCGAGTGACGGGACAAGTGATAAAAACTATGGGAGATTAAGCGATCCTACATTACATCGCTGCCACTATTCAGCAAAGGCGTGCTGGACAGCTTTTCCATGCACTCTATCAGTGCAGCGTCACTCCGGTGACACTCATCCACCCGCTACCGTTCGGCCAACTTTCGGATATCGACTGCAACAGCTCAGAAAGACAAGTGGACGAGTACACCGCGACGCGTTTAGTGGCACTACCCCAAACCACGCTCCAATCGAATGCTCCAGCAGCTCGTCCAAATCACCAACTAAACTAGTGGGCGGATCGCTTTTGGGGCGGAGTGCTTTCGAAGTCCTGCTCAGCAACCAGCGCACCTTTCGTCGTGAAAGCGCCACACCTCGCTTCTTGGCAGCCAAGTAACTGCTTCGTGTGGCGCATATACTTCCCGATGCGGCCCTTCTTATCGTAATCGCTTCTTTTGACAACTATCAAGAGGAATGTGGAAGAGGCTCCTGGAGAGCCGTCATTCCTCTCATATGATTGACCTCTATGCACCTGGAGGGCTGCCATCTCTCTCACATGACCTCACCTCTATACAGAGAGCTCCTGACTGCTGAGTACTTATTATTCTTATTATTACCTTGTTTCTCCATTTCAAAAATAGCATTTTGATTTGTCCTAACGAAGAAAAATAAGATCTCGATTACTCACTGTATTTGCAACTTTGCTGGTTGGTTTGAAAAAAGAGGTCCCATTGTGTCATCATCAGGTCGACGGTGGTGAATAAGTTTGAGTTTTCACTTTCTCTACTTGGATTCGATTCTTGTGGAACTCTTTGTAAGTCCATCCCTCCTGAACACTGTCCACAATGCCGTAGGATTGGATAGGATTGGAAAGGGTTTTGTCACTCATAGCCTTCAGAAGCCTCAGACAAGAACACTTCAGACCCTCTTATATACCATGAATTTCTCCCAAAGGCCAGAATTCGCGCAATCTGCATCAGATCGGAGGTCATTCGAGCTCTGCTATTTCTGTTTTTTCGGGTCAGTCGCGGCTTGTAATCTCACTGTTGTATCTTCCAAAGCGGCCTTGTTCTCACAACCACCCTCAGACGCTCATTCATTCATTTCTGTCGACAACTTCTAAATGCCTTCGGACGGAGTCAGTATTTTATTTTGATTTATTCTTCGCTTTTTCACTTGATTTTGCCTGCGAGTAAGCGGGGAAAATGAATTATTTCTTCTGTATGCTATCGAAATGATCCCGGGCTTTTGTTTCAGAGAGAATGCATTTCTATTCACATCGGCCAAGCAGGTGCACAGATCGGAAATGCCTGCTGGGAACTGTACTGCTTAGAGCATAGCATAGATCAGAGTGGATTTCTGGATGAATCAGTCGACCAAAAGAAAATGGATTCACAGGTGATTCTTCCCTGGAGAGCTTCTTATCTTTGCTCGCAGACTTATTTTCTTCTCTAGGGCCATTGACATTCTGACGTGATGACACGTAATATCTGGAAAATAGAAAGCGCCCCGGAAAAGCTTTTCTAATCAGTCTCGTCTGGCTAGCTGTTTGAATCTCACCAACCAAAATTTGCTAACCACCACTAAGACAACATAGGCCCTAGTAAAGGACGCCAAACGTGGGTCACAACAGGGATCAATTGCAAAAATTAATCGTCTGTTCGGGACTCAAAAACAGATGATTCTAACTATTATTTTGACTTGTTTTTTGGATAACTGCTGTTTTACGCCGCAGTTCGCGTTGCGAAAGTTATCACAAGAATGCTGAGTTGTGGGCAAAACTTTCGCCCCAGCCGGGATTCGTACCCGGATATCTTGCTCTCCAGGTAATTGTGTCATCAGTTGGCACTATGGTATCTTACCATCGAAGTTGAGTTGAGGTGAAATGGTGCCCCGGTGGTGTAACTGGTAGCACAATTGCCCGGAAAGCAAGAGATCCGGGTACGAATCCCGGCTGGGGCGAAAGTTTTGCCCACAACTCAGCATTCTTGTGATAACAGATACATTATACAGTTCGATATGTCCCATTCCCAGGCATATTACCAATCTGAGGGTTCGAAAACACTGTGAAGCTTTAGTCAACGTAGAAAAAGTTTATTGCAAACGAAAATTAATCCAGCTCAAAAAATGCCACAAGCTTTTTGATCTTTTGGCGCTCCTACGTTTTCTTGTTTCTTAGAGAAAATAGATTAGTTAGGAAAAATCATGGCACAACATCTTATCTTCTAAATATATCAACGCATATTATTTACATTCGATCAAATATATGTATTAGAAACAGTTTACGTATTGCAGTCGCTTCAAGCATTCTATTCCGAATCCAACAATGGGAAATTCGTTCCTCGTGCCATTTATATTGACCTCGAACCAACCGTACTTGGTGAGTTGTTTCTGGTTGTTTACTTTTCCTGGGAAAGAACTGAACCAACTAGTGGATTCTTAGCTATCGTTAGGAGGTGACTACTTAGGCGAGTAGGCGATTAGGCGAGAAGAAAATGATGCGTATCGATCAAAGGAATAGGCCAGGCGATCGCGCAAAACGCTCATAGGGCGGAGTAAGCCCATTTAGTACGAACGCAAGCCAAATCGCCTCATCGCATAGTCGTATACTCCTCTATTCGCTCACTCGCTACGCACATTTGGCGCAATGTGCCTCGGTGGTGGCAGTCTGGGTAGGCGGTCTCAGGACATCTGTCAACCGTGAGCCTTGGCGGTTCAGCGTTTTGTAGTGATGTCTGGGAGCTCTCACAAGTGCACACTATCTCCTCTTTCTTTATCTTCTTCAAAAGGCTTAGTCCCAATAAGACACAAAGTGTGTGCTTTTCCAGCTACGCTCTCACCCTTTGGTTATGAGAGAA